TCTTTGCTGAGTTGTCATTACATAGAAGGGGAGGTTGATTCTGTTTCCTTGAAAGTTGATATAATCTTTCACTGGGTTTTTGCTGTTGTACTTTAACTAGTACTTTGCTCAGTAGTTCTGAAGGACTTTAGGGGAAAAAAATCTTAGTCAACAGAGAAGATATTTTGATGCTTTATAACTTGTTTTATTAAATCATTCAACATTGTTTATTTAAGTTCTTTAGCTTCATAATTTTGCTTTGTTTTGCAAAGATGGGAGAATGCTCTTGCATTTCTTCCCTGATGTTCAATATATGCTATTTCATATTTGGCTTTCATATTTCCTGTAAAAGTTTTGGTATCAATTTTACAAGAGATTAAATCTGTATTAAAATTTCCTATTTTTTCCCTTTAACATTGATACCTGTTTAAGAACTGACACTGAGAGACTCAGACTCAGTTGTATGTAAGATATAAGAAAAGTCAATAAATATTACAAATTATAATAATATTTCTTATGGTAATTCTCATTGAATTAAAGCATTGCTTTTTTATTTACTCTGTAAACTTCTTCAACTGTATTGAATTTTTTAATAACATGTAGAGTAGCACTGCCTGAACTTTTCTAGAGCCTTATGAAAAACTCATGAAAAGTTTTGAGGTGTCCTTTGGTCACCGATTTTTGGTTGAGCTTGCTCTCTCTGCTTCCCAGATATTCTCCCCTTCTCTTGTCTTTCCATCTTGAAGTTCTATTAATACTGCTCACAATTTGTTTCTTTTTTCCTCCTACTACAGGCACCAGAAGTGATACGGATGCAGGACAGTAACCCGTTTAGTTTTCAGTCAGATGTCTACTCCTATGGAATAGTATTATATGAACTAATGACAGGAGAGTTGCCATATTCCCACATAAACAACCGAGATCAGGTAAGAAAAATTCTTTGAATACTGCATTTTATTTCTGGGCATAGTACGTTTTGTTGTCCTGGAGAAATGCAAGAGAAAGAAAATGCAAAACAAGAATTTAAATGTTTCCATGATTCATTTCAGCAGTAAATCTGTCTAATTGAATTACTTAAATAGTGACAGTTACTTGAAGGGAAAAAAAAATAATCTTACTTATAAACACTTTAAATGCCCTGTTAATTTATTCACAGATTAAAGCTTTTAGTACATCAGTAAAATCTTGGTTGGTTTATTTGCGGTTATGTGACATTTCCCTTTTGATGTTCTTACATCAGCAAGATTGGATTCTGTGCTTTTTACAAAGTGGAAAAAATCCCCAGTTGCTATTGTTAAACTTTTTAGTATTGAATGTTAGTTTGTGTGATTTAGTCTTTACTAAGTTGTATTCTTACCAGTCAGTTAACCAGTAATTATAAGGGAGCACATTAAGGACAGAAACCTCGACTGTTCTCTTTACGTGACTTTTTTCTGGCTTGGCAAATGTAGAGCTAACTCATTCTGTAGGGCATACATTTATGACTTAGATCTTCCTGATTTCTGTTTTGTTGATCCTCAGTTGTGGTTTTTTGTTTTTTTTAAATTAAGATCTCAGAAGCATGTGCATCTGGGGACAAACTACTAGATTTTAGTCCCTATTATGTTATACAGTCTGTATTCCAAGTATAAGAGGCCAGTTGTGTTAAGAAAGTTTTTTCTTATTTTTAAGGTTGTCTACAAATTGGGATATTGGAATGTGTTTCAATTCATAATACTGAAATTGTATGCAAGCTTTAATAATCATTACTGTCACAAAACACGTGACACTTGACCCCCAAGTAAGTTTTCTGAGGAGTGATAGAATATTTCTTGGAGAGCAACACTGAGACCTTATTTTAGCAACATACTAACTTTTTATTTTTTGTCTGAGACAATATTGGTTGAAAAAGAAACCATAGCACATAGTTCAATTAACATCTTCTTCCCCCCCC